GGAAAGGAGGAGGATCCGGGGAACTACAGGCCAGTCAGCCTCACCTCAGTCCCTGGAAAAATCATGGAGCAGGTCCTCAAGGAATCAATTTTGAAGCACTTAGAGGAGAGGCAAATGATCAGGAACAGTCAGCATGGATTCACCAAGGGCAAGTCATTCCTGACTAACCTAATTGCTTTCTGTGAGGAGATAACTGGCTCTGTGGATGAGGGGAAAGCAGTGGATGTGTTATTCCTTGACTTTAGCAAAGCTTTTGATAAGTTTCCCACGTATTTTTGCCAGCAAGTTCAAGAAATATGGGCTGGATGACTGGATTATAAGATGGATAGAAAGCTGGCTAGATCGTCGGGCTCAATTGGTAGTGATTAATGGCTCCATGTCTAGTTGGCAGCCGGTATCAAGTGGCGTGCCCTAACGGTCTGTCCTGGGGCATGTTTTGTTCAATATCTTAATTAATGATCTGGAGGATGGTGTGGACTGCACCCTCAGCAAGTTTGCAGATGACACTAAACTGGGAGGAGTGGTAGATACGTTGGAGGGCAGGGATAGGATACAGAGGGACCTAGACAAATTAGAGGGTTGGGCCAAAAGAAATCTGATGAGGTTCAGCAAGGACAAGTGCAGAGTCCTGCACGTAGGACGGAAGAATCCCATGCACTGCTACAGACGAGGGACCGAATGGCTATGCAGCAGTTCTGCAGAAAAGGACCTAGGGGTCACAGTGGATGAGAAGCTGGATATGAGTCAACAGTCTTTCCTTGTTGCCAGGACGGGTAACAGCATTTTGGGCTGTATAAGTAGGGGCATTGCCAGCAGATCGAGGGACCTGATCATTCCCCTCTATTCAGCATAGCTGAAGCCTCATCTGGAGTACTGTGTCCAGTTTGGGGCCCCACACTACAGGAAGGATGTGGAAAAATTGGAAAGAGTCCAGCGGAGTGCAACAAAAATGATCAGGGGCTGGAGCACATGACTTAGGAGGAGAGTTTGAGGGAACTGGGATTGTTTAGTCTGCAGAAGAGACGAGTGAGGGGGGATTTGATAGCAGCTTTCAACTACCTGAAGGGGGGTTCCAAAGAGGAGGGATCTAGACTGTTCTCAGTGGTGGCAGATGACAGAACAAGGAGTAATGGTCTCAAGTTGCAGTGGGGGTGGTCTAGATTGGATAATAGGAAACACTGTTTCACTAGGAGGGTGGTGAAGCGCTGGAATGGGTTACCTAGGGAGGTGGTGGAACCTCCATCCTTAGAGGTTATTAAGGTCAGGCTTGACAAAGCCCTGGCTGGGATGATTTGGTGGGGATTGGTCCTCCTTTGAGCAGGGGATCGGACTAGATCAGACTAGCGGGGGAGGGATAGCTCAGTGGTTTGAGCATTGGCCTGCTAAACCCAGGATTGTGAGTTCAATCCTTGAGGGGGTCACTTGGGGATCTGGGGCAAAATCCGTACTTGGTCCTGCTAGTGAAGGCAGGGGGCTGGACTCGATGACCTTTCAAGGTCCCTTCCAGTTCTAGGAGATGGGATATCTCCATTTAATTTTTTTTTTTTTTTTAGATACCTCCTGAGGTCTCTTCCAACCCTGCTAGTCTATGATTCTATGTAAGCTTTAAATGGAGGGGGACTGGCTCTTTCTCAGGGGGCTGGGGAACAAGCTATCCATCTTCTTTCCCCTTTTGGTTCTGTTTAGGTTCTTGCGCATCCCCATGGTATCTGAGCATTGTGCCCTCGGAGTCTCACTCGGTGCCATTCCAGACGGGCAGGGCCATCTGAGAAACCCCCGCATCCGCCAGTGCTGGAAGTTTCCTCAGCGTAGTGCTGACATAAGGGCCCTGTGCCACGTCCCGCTCTCCTGCTCCCAGCCACCCCCCGTGTACAAGGCAGAGCTGGCATGGCTGGCGCAGATTGGGTTACAGCTTATTCTCTGCCCCAGGGCCCACGTGATGGGAGGTAGATGGGAGGGGGCACGGCCGGAGCGCACTGCACGGTGGCTATCCTCCACTGCCAGGCCCACGGCGCAGCGTCTGTGTTGAACCGAGCTTTGCAAAGCGGGAGGAGATCGCTGGGGCGAACCCGAGGGTATTTACCAGCGGGCGCTGGCTCCGTTCCTGTGGGCTGAGCCCTTGTGGCATTGGGAGATTGGAGTTATCTGACAATCTTGCATTCGGGCCAGTATCCCTTGGTCAAAAATTAACCCGTTCCGGGAATCCCCGGGCCCAGCTCGCGCCGGGGCAGCGGCATTGCCAGTTTTACGCCAAGGGCTGAGGCCCGGAGGAGACAGGTGAGATTGAAGGGCTTTGCTGCTTCCCTGAGTGGCTTCTCCACAAAAGGATTCTCCCCACTCCTCCGCCCCCGGCCGAAGGCGTGCAAAGTGGGTGGCACACGCTAGCAGATCAGAAGCCTTTTCCATCTGCTCGGCAGGCGCGTAGGCGACGGCGCGAGCAGCAAAGGGAGAGAAAGGGCCTGGGTTTTTGCCAGCGTCCCCCGTCAGCCGCACAAAGCTACTTCCCCAAAGCAGGCAAGCCTGGCGGGTTTTGTTTGTTTCCTCCGAGATGCTGCTTAATGTTGTAATCCTGGTCTGGTTTCCTGGCCTTGCCCGTGGCCTCCTCGAGGTCTTTGCAGACTCCGCCTCTTCTCGTACTTTGCCTCTGTTATTGTTTGGTAACAGCCGCTAGTCGGGGCCCTCGGTCGCCATCTCCCGGGCCCCTGGCTGCTCGCTCTCGCACGCAGCCCGAGCCCAGATCCGCTCCTCGGCTTGGATCCCAGAGGGAGCAAAATCCGGCCAGGGTTTCCACTCACTGCCTCCCGTCCGAGCAGCGACGTGCAAAAGATCTGTCTTGAGGGGAAGAAATAACAGGGCCAGATCAGGAGCTGGTGCAAACCGGAGCAGCTGTATGGAAACCGAGGGGTGGTGAGGCTGAAATACACCAACTGAGGATCTGGCCTGAAATGTTTGTCTGTTGTTTGCAAACGGAGTGTCCTGCTGCAGGGCCCCCGGTGGGATTTGCCTGCTGGGAACCGACAGCAGAACTTGCCCCACTACTGGACCCTGGGAGGAATCAGGGGACACAAGGAATGCAAAACTGGTCCGGATCCTTGATCTGTCTGTCTCCACCAGAGGCCAGGACCTGAGACTTTAGGAGGTGAAGAAACCTCTGCAGGAAGCAGATAGAGAATAACCTGTCTCTGGGGGAAGTTTCTTCCTGACCTCCAGAAGTTAGAGGGTGGCATTTGTCCTGAAGCATGAGGATTTATAGCCCGGCCACAACTCTTCCCATTACAGCTCTTGTTCTATAAACGGTCGTGCGTTCTTGGGTTCCAAGAAATCTCGTGCCAGTGAATCCCACCACCTCGTTAAGTGTTGCCGGGATGGTGGGCGGCGGGGGGAGGGGGTGCTCCCCAGGGGCCAGATGCTTCCGCGCTGGGGGAGATAAGGGAGGACTGATGCAAGGGAGGTGGGTGGGCAGGGGGTAACAGGCTTTGGAAATTATTGTCCGCCACTTGAGCCGATAGGGGGGTCCCAGTGACAGCTAAGCAGGGCTAGATGGGACAGATGTGCTGCTAGCCCCACATGCCCCAACTCCCTCTGACCTATCTAGACCAGTCTTAGGTACTTCTCTGCCCCCCTACATTACTATAGTATCTGAGCATCAACCTTTGAGGTATTTATCCCCACAATCTCCCCTGTGAGGCAGTGCTATTCTCCCTCTTGTAGAGATGGGGAAACCGAGGCACATTACTTTCCCAAGGTCACGCAGCGGCGGAGCAGGGAATTGAACCAGGGTCTCACCCATTCTTTCTTTATAATTTGTCGCGGCCCCGGCACATAATAGTGATGCTGAGCTCTTCTCTTCGAAGCACTTTGCAGAGGAGGTCAGTAGCACTATCCCCCAATTCACAGACGGGGCGAAACTGAGGCATGGAGAGGGGAAGTGACTTGCCCAAGGCCATTCAGGAGGTCGGCGGCAGAGCTGGAAATAGAGCCCGTGTTTCCTGAGGTCTAGTTCAGGGTTCTCTCTCTACTCAGCCACGCTGCTCTTCCCAGGGGTCCCTGTGGGAGATGCCAGGGACTCGGGTCATTTGCCGGGAAGGCTTGAGGGGTTAACCATGGATAGCTGTAGGCCTGGCTCACGCCGCCCTCTCCTGTCTATTTTTAGCCCCGTAGGCGGCCGGCTCCAAGATGTCTCTGTGGAGCCTCGTCTCGCACATGCCTCCGGAGCACTTCAGCAGCCTCTTCGGGGAGTTCCCATGCGACCTGCGCAGCCTGTTGGCCGACTGGCTGGAAAACCAGCCGTGGTGAGTGCAGAACGCCCGTCCCGCGCCGCTCAGGACCCACCTCACTCCCTACGACGAACGCCCCACTGCCCGGCCTCGCCTGGGCCTCCCAGCTTGTCTGCGGAAGCTCACGGCAGGAGGAATCCGAGTGGTTCCTTCCTCCTGGAGGAGCGGAGCAGTGTCTCCCGCTCAGAAAATCCCGAGTTGGGCCCCGAAGTCGTGAGACATCCCAGTCAAGGTTGGGTTCTTCCAGTTGGCCTGGCCAGGGGAGGCCGGGATGTTTGCACTCGTTCATTTCTCCCTCCCTTTCTCTTTCCTCCGCCGCCAGGGAGTTCATCACCGGCGCCGACTCCTTCTGCACTAGCGCGGCCGGCGCGCTGCTCTCCGCCATGGTGGAAAAGCTTCGCAGCCTTGCCGGTGGCAACGGGCAGCAATGTCAGGTCCTCCAGCACATTAGTAACCTGGAGGTATGGCCTGGAGGGTGTGTGTGAATGGGGGGGTCAGGGTATTGCTGTGGAAACAGCATGGGGGGTCATCAAGCCATGGTTGGGAGTGTGTTACATGGCAAAGGGAGCCAGGAATGCCTGAGTTGCCGGTTTGAATCCCGCTTGGAGCATCAGCGGCCAACAGCTGTTCTCCTCTGATAGCTATTGCATGGGCCTCCCTGTTCTACATGCAATGAGTTTACAGGGACTCAGCTCAGCTCCCAGCAGGACAGATCCCCCAGCCAAAGACTGACTGAGCCAATGAATGAACTTGTCCTCTCCAGGGCACATGTATGGGCAAAGGGACCCTGGCCACATCTGCTCAGGGGATCGATATTTATTTTGGTTTATAACCCCCCAGCCAACCCCCTGCCCCCATGGCTTTGGTCTGGACACCATTTAACATTCACGCCCAACAGCGCCTCCCACTGCAGCATCAAATATTACAGCCAATATTACCCCCTCCCCCCCAATGACTTTTTTGGGGCCAAGCAAATGTTTTTCAGAAAATTTGCATTTTGGGTGACACTCTTGGGTTTGGGGTGGTTTTTTTTTTTTAAATGACTGCCAATTTTTGTGATTAAAAATTTGTGGGATTTTTGGTTTAGTTTTTATTTAAAATGTTGGGGGGAGAGGGGTTGGCTCTCAAACACCAAAGTGTGTTTTGTTTTGTTTTTACTGAAAACTTGGAAAGTTTTTGGTTTTTCATCGATCAAATGACTTTAAAAAAAAAAAAAATCTTTGAAATTTCCCCACCAAAAAAAATCATTGAGTTCTATTAAATACAAAGAGGGAATTAAATCTTGGATCAAACTATCCTTTTCCCTGGAACAAATTTAAGCCCTGACTGGGCCATGAGCAGTACATGGACACAGGGCTTTCCGTAAAGGATCGGGGTTTTCCTGAAGATGTATTTTGAAATATTAGCTCTATCTTATGTTACGTGCCTGGAGTACTTCAGTGCTAATATCAGAGTCTTCAATAGCTTAAAATCACAGCTGCTGGGTGGCCAGTCTTGGAACGTTTACAACAGACTTTTCCGTTTTGATATTTAGCTTGTTTGGAATATTCAGAGAGGGTCAAAAAACCAACTGGAGCACGTCGGGAAATTTGAGCTGAAATGCGTTTTGGTCAGAAAACGTCAATTCCTTAGAACGGAAATCGTTCACGAGACAGGGGATCGTTTCAACAAAGCTCCTGATTTGAAAACTTGCCAAATGGTTTTTGATTCCCCCCCCCCCGCGCGATTCGAAACAAGTTTTTTGCTTTCGCCATTTTAGTTATTTTATATGAACAAAATAAATGTCTCCGTTTAAAAAGTCAAAATCAAAACAAAACATTTTCAAGCTGTTGAAATGAAACTTTCCGACTGAGCCACTCCAGGGTTGGGGGTTTTGTTTGTTTGTTTTGTTTTTCTGGATTATTGATTGACAAAAATGTTCAAGATTTTGAATTTTCAGAGGAAAAACTCTGAAACCTCAAACTCTTGTGAGATGGGAAAACCATTTCTCACCCAACCTCGTAACCAACCCCACTTGGGCCGACAGCCGAATTTGAACCTACAGAGGTCAAACCCTGAGCCTCTGTCGTTTGAAACACGGATATCTATAGCGGCCTTATCAGCCCCTCTGTGGATGAGCTACCGGGGGAGACAAAGACCTGTGGGCGCCTAGCTGTGGTTAGACTCGCAGCCACGGAATTTTCCACTCGCGCCCACGAGCAGGTGCTGTTTTGCACCAATTTGCACAAGTGCGACTGAGGACGCAGGGTGCCGGAGTCAGGGGGAGTGTGGGAATTCTCCCGCTATTAATGCTAACCATGTCCCCACCCCGCTGTTCCAGAACACGTATCGGAGAGACCCGCTGAGGCTGGTGGCAATCGTGAAAGGAATTCTGGAGGGCGAGAGAGCTGCCTTGCTCAAACGGGTCAGTGACTCACGCCCGCGCATGCGCACACCCAGGCTAAGCGACGGCACCTTGTCCTCCATCCCAGCCTGTAGCGCCGCCCAGCCCCTCTGCAGCTGGGCGGCAGATGGTGTCCGTCGGCCTGTGCGTAAGCTGGGGAAGATTTGGGCCCTAGATGGAGGGTGCATCATGTGCCTGTCAGCCCCGTTGGCCCGTTATCAGTTGGCGGGCGTAGGGATCTGTGCAAGGTGATTTCCCAGGGGACTGCGGGGGCACGGCTAGGTAGATGCCGCTTGGATTACATAGGGCCTTGTGGTCTCCTTGCTGGTCCCACGTGGGTCTCGCAGCCACGGGACAGCCAGCAGCAGCTCGGGCCACGTGGTTTGTGGGATGATCGCTCGCCTCTGGGTAAATGAGGCCATCCCAGGGAAACGCCTGACGCCAAAGCATCAGAACTTAAAAAGCCGCAGGATCCCGGTGGGGGACCCGGTTCCCTGCGGGGATGGGGAGGTCGTCCCGCCACAGGGGGATTAGTGGGGGGAGGGGGGAGATTCAGCCCACGTTTCACCCCCACCCCCTTTGCCGTTCCCCTAGGATCGCCAGCTGCCGCTCAGCTTCCACCGCAGGCAGGAGGAGCTGAAGTTCGGGCTGGACCTGCAGAGGCTCCAGCACCGAGTTGGGGAGATCCAGGTGCTCCAGGAACGGTGGAAGCAGATGGGAGAGGGGACCAGAGGTGAGAGGGGGCCAGGGGAGGCTGTGGGAGGGGCTGGAGGAGTGAAGAGGGGGCGGAGCTGAGGGGCTGGAAGGGGATTGGAGGGGGAGAGAGTGGGAGGGGCTGAAGGAGTGAAGAGAGGGTGGAGCTGAGAGGGGCTGGAAGGGGATTGGAGGGGGAGGGGCTGGAAGGGGATTGGCGGGGGAGAGGGTGGGAGGGGCTGGAGGAGTGAAGAGGGGGCAGAGTTGGG